GTTGAGGGGTTTTTGCATTTTTATTGAGAAATTAAAATAATTTTTTAAAAAATTAGGGTTAGAACATGCAAGTCTTACTTCAGCAAGTGCCTTAAGAAAAGAAAATTATAATTCAGCACAAAAAGCACATGTTCATTTTGCAGTCAAACCTCCTGAATAATAAAAGGTATAGATCTTGACCAAATAATTGCAGTGACATATTCTGTAAATTCTCTAGTTCCTGGAAAATCCTGAATGTTTTGAAAGAAAGTAGCAGAAAATAGAGGACAACTCTGAGCTCCTCATGTCTCCAAACCAACTGTTTCCTCCTACTCTCCTACTCATTTCCTATTTCCCACATGAGAGATGAAAGCCCTACAAGTGAGTATTAAACCACAATTTAGAGATTGAGATAGCAAGTAAGTAAAAGGGGCTACATTCCTGTCATCTTCTGTTGCTGTGATCCTTCTCTTCGAGACTGCATCAGATGTGATGCAGAATACACCAGATAGGGCCCTTGTGAGAATAAAGGCATTGAATATTGCAAAGTGGTGCAATGGGAGCCATATATAAATGCTAAGATAAATACAGATTTGATAAATTACTAGCAAAGGCACTGGAGGGAACAATACAAGATGATGCAGTCGGGCTTTTTCATCTCACTCTCATGACCCTTAGAGAAGGCATGGCTTTCCAGAACCCTGCACCTGAGGCAAGATATTTTAGTCATTTTATACGTAATTACCCCTTGAGACCTCTCAGATGCTAGGATAATAAAATGTAGCTGTAGGTCTTCAACTGTGCTGATATACGGATGTCCATTTCAGAACAGGAAAAGATGCCACATGTCAACATTTGTTAGCTCTGATTGCCAGTGCTAATATGTGTAAATGTACTGAGAAAGTATGGTTTCTTTAAAAATTTAACTTAGCTGCAGCTTGTGCCCAGCACTGCGAGGGTTTAATCCTAAGGCTTCCCACACGATGGAAGGGAGACATGCAAGCTGTTGAGATCTGCACTGAAGACAGCTCCTATCCAGCTGAAGATTTGTCCCAGCTGTCTGCGCTGAGCAGCCATTTACCTTAGCTCTACGTATACTAGCAGCTAAAAGCTAATTTAAAAGGAAAGATTTCAGTCAGCTAGTGAAAGGACAATAGTCATCTTTGCTCCTGACATTCGTGTTTATCAGAGCTGTTAAGCAAAGTGATAATTTGCTGCAGAGGAATATACTAGATAAAAGACGTTTTTACAAGAATATGTTTATTAAGGAATACCTATATAAAAAATGTTTTTTTCTTGCATCACTTTTCCTGACAGAAATATTACTTACACTAAAATCCTATTAAAAAGTGGTTTAATTTAATAACATTCATTGTATTAGTTCCCGCTAAAGTAATCACTTTGTTGAGAACACACTCTCTGTTCCTTTATTTGATCTGGGAATAAAATTATCTTGTCTTTACTTCAGTATCTCCTTTTTATTTTTTTTTCTAGAATAAATAAACATGAAGCTGTCACTGCAGAGCAGGCACTGCCTCTCCTGTTATAAACCTTTGATTTCTGTGTTGAGAGAATTTTTTTGCACAATGATTCTTTTAGAATATGCTTGAAGTACTACATTTTCTTGCTTTCTTGTTTCCCATGTAGATACATGAGTAATCACAGAGACTTTTTGCTGTCCCAGTAGATTATATTGTCCTATCAAGTTTTCTGTCCTTCTCATAGACCTGGTCAGGTTATTTATCATGAAAAAATGATTTAATGTATCAGGCAGTAATTTTAGTATAATTGTTATTATAGCAACCAAAGCCACCAGTTGTGAGATTTGAGCCCTTTCATACCAGTAAAAGACACTGCAGTCCTCTGTTCCATAAAGTCTTAGCTAAAGGGCTTGACTTATGCACTCTTCACCCACATGGCTATCATTAGCTGCTAAACTTATGTTGTGTGGCCAGGCCCTCAGAGTTGCCTCCTATACCTTGGTACAAACTGCCACATTTACCAAGGGGCTGCAACATCTTCTACGTGAATATTGGAGATCCTGGCCTCTAGAATGTGGTGGCTTCTTGGCAGTACTAGCCAAAAACTACAAGTCAAAAAGAAAAAAATAAATGATAAATCCAAAAACTGTGGAGGAACTGGATCTGTCACAAACAGATTATTGTTATCTATTCTAGAGCATGATGACAGCTCTTTGGATCCCAGCTCAATATTATATCCACTCGCCAACAGTTAACTATTGACTTTCAACAAAGCTGTAAACATGGTCGTACTACACTGTTTGTGTACTATACACATATAGAAAACATCAACAAAAATCTGTTAAAAAAATACAAACTCCTGGGTTTATTTACTAGAAGAGAGTGTATGAAATCATGAGATGTAAATGTTGTATGTTTTTCATATTTAAGAAACGCTGATTTGCATGGTTTCTGAAAATCCAAACTGGTAATCTGTTTGAGACACCACCAGCTTTCAGGGGATGTGTTTAATCAAAATGTTATTATTTGCTAGCTTAGAAGACACCAGCCTTGTTGTAATGTGTTATATTGGTGACTGGGTAGTTCCAGGGGCTAATGAGGAGATATAAAATCACAGGGAGCCCAAGTGACCATTTCAAATCTAACCCAAGTAAGTATTGTTCATTTGATCTTTAATCTTGTATCTGATCAAAGTAGCTATTGTTCATTTAGTCTTTACTCTGGTACCTGTCTGATAAAAACATATAAGAAATGAGTTGACTGTGTCACTGCAATTTGCCAGGCAGTTGTAAGAAATAGTCTCCAAAATGATGTATTTATTCGGTAGCACCTGTGAAGGAGCTAGCAACTCAACAGCAACAGAAATCCTGTCATCATTAGTCAAAGGACTGACACACTCAAAGGAACAGAATAAATACCCTGGGCTTTCTCCTGGTTTTCTTGCCTAAATAACAACACTTCTTTGTTCAAATAACATCTGAGATCTCAGTTAAGCAAGGGAAAGAAGGTGGCTTTATGTAGCAAAGAGAAATGCAGGTGCTAGACATCTTCAGACAAGATGGAAATGCATGTACACCCATGTATAGAGCACACAAGGCTAATTTCAAGCCCTGGGAAAAACAAAAAACCAGAGCCTCTAGCACCTCTGTGCCCTGCCCCTGTCTGTCCAGGAATATGGTGCAACTTCAAGGTTAAAAATAAGTTGGCCCTAAGATGAGGTTTCTCGTTTGTCGTAAAAAGAACGTTATTTTATTTACCTCATCACTGTTGACAAGATCACCATCAGAGGAAGTCAAGCCTTCTTCTCAATCCTTGCAAGAACTTCGGTGTTTATTTCAGCTTGAATTCTCTGTTGTCATAATTAAGAGACTTGTGTGTCCAATCCCTTCTTAAAACTGGAAAAGGGGGGCTCATGACTCAATATGTTTCTTTGGTACCTTAAGAAGCTTCCAGGACCCTGCCCTCTGCACTGCCAGGAGGGGCAGACCCTCTGCCCTGAGTTTTGGTGCCTGAGCCCCAGGCACTGTCACCAAAGCCCCTCCGAAACAGCGCCCCACTGCCCCACAGGGCAGGTTTGACCCAGATGCAAATTTCCCAAGGACTGAAAATACAACTCAGTGTTGACAGCTGTCCCAGGCTTGTTAGCCCCAAAGAATCCACACTCGCTGCAGTTTCCTTTTTTTACCTAATTCTCTTTAAGAGAGACAAACTGGAAGTGGATTAATATAAACAAAGAGCAAGTAGTCTGTGTAATATAAGAGCAAACATTATAGATTATGAGCTGAGGGACATGGCTCAAAAGGCAGTAATTCAGCAGCCAGTCAGAATCACCAACTAAATTTTTCTTTACTTACTTTAGGGTTTTTAGTGCCCTCTGGAAGGACATCAACAAGATTTAGACACAAGCATATCACTACTGTAATGAACACTGACAAAAAAATTGAGAAATTGGAACTGGAAATGCATTTGCAATACTTCTTCTTCGGGAATTACTACCATAATTACACCAGTTTAGAAAGCAATACCTTTGTAAGTGCTTTTACCCCGTCATGTATCACACAAGGGATTATAGCATTTTAATGACCTTGGTGGCTAAATTGTACAATACCTATAATAATATGAAATCTAGGAGAATTTTTGGCCCCATTGAGGCCATAGAAAATCTCCTACTGACTTCATTGGAGCCAGCAAAATCCATCCTAATTTTTCAGGTGTGACCAGCTCTAGTCACAAGAAGGGCTTATATTGCCCTCATACTCTTAAAAGAAGTGTGAACTGGTACTTTTCATATACGTATGCTACAAATGCCCTGAATTTTATTTCATGAAAGATGTTATGACATGGAATACGTTGTTTCTCCATGAAACATGCACCTTTTAATACCAGCTACTGAAAGGGTGATATATACGTCGCTATTTCTCCTGTCACCAAATAAAATGAAATTCATAGACCTGCTCTTAGCTAATGTGATCCATGTTTTATGGCTAAATAAGGCCTTGAAAATGAAAATCTTCTGTCCTTCTCATGAGGTACATAGATCCAAATTAAATGAGCAAGTTACATTAAGGCACCTACAAACCTTGAAAAAGGTGTATTGGCTTGTTCATTCTTCCTCTGGATAATAAACTCACTCGTCAAACATCTAGAGAGCAAGCCAAAGGAAGTGAACGTTGCCCTGCCTTAGCTTCCTTTATATTTTTTCAGTTTGCTGAAATTGGGCATATCTTCTGTAGATAGGACTATAAGAGATTGATAGATGCTTTAAGATCGGTTTGCGCATGAAAAGGTAATAATTGATCCCTGGCCACTTCATGAACCAGCATTTAGTGTGTTGTGCAACTTCAGAAATAAATCAGAATAACTACTTGAAAAATAAAAGGAGGTAAAAAAGCTCACTTTCCTTCAGCTTTAGGAAATATATGTTGTGTTAGAAAAGGTGTTAACTGACAACATGTTTTAACAGACATGGCAATAAATATGTCCAACGTTTTCTCCAGTGTGCAAACTGCCTTTGCAAGAGCCTGGAGAGATTCCCGCTGGTCTCTGCAGGATTTGGCTTGAGCTCCTCTGCAGGAATCAGTTCGTGCCAGTGGAAGTAAATAGGCCCTTGGGGATGCTGCTGCTGCCACTGAGGTATTTATTTTTATAATAACTTGTTGGCCAGTGCAGGGATAGGAAGTCACAACCACAGCTCCTGCATTTGAAACTCCACACCATTCATCCTTATCAGTTAAAGCCCTTTGCAAAGATAAGAATGATAAGAACCACAAACTTGAGGACCTGGCTACCAAACACCCCGATGGCCACTTGCCATGCTTCTGGGAGCAGCTTCTTTCCCTGTGCTCTGCAGTGCCTGCTGGTGCCTCCCAGTAGCCAGCAAGCAAAGCCAACCCCTTGGACCACAGGGTTGATGAGGGCAACAGATCACGGGATTTTTCTGACTCATACAGAGCCAATAAAACGCATTTCTTAGGAAGGAGCCTCCCTCACTATTTACTATTTCCAGTGACTGCTCACACTGTGTTATTATTCAACAATATTTTCTCTAGCTTGGCCCCTTCCTGGCTCACAGAGCCCAGCTCTGTTGGAGAAGCTCTTCTTCTAACCTCCAAAATTGTCACAAACAAATTACTCTGTTCTTACTTGCAAATCAGGTAGGAAACATGAGGGAAGCACAACTCCCTATTCACTGCCTTCAGGGAAAAGAGGGCAGATTGGTCAGTGACCACATTTCATTAGTCAAAGAAGAAACAGGATTATTCTCCTTCCCTTGCCAGACTCCGTCACTCAAAGAAAACTGAAACAGCAATAAGAGTGAAAGGGCCTGTGATAATGACACAGCACTTTCATATCATGTGTGCTCTTTTATCAGCACTTACAGACTTATGAACACAGAGTGGAGCCCTGTAGAATTGGCTGGTTTATGCATTTTTAAGAGTTGTTTTCCCACTTATTTCCTGTTTTCTTACCCAGCAGGCCTAACCACATCTAGAACCTAGATAATACTTGTGTCAGTATCTCTGCCAGCTTTGTTTAAACTCCCTTTCCTACACTTAAAACAAGCTTGAAGCTCCACTTATTCCCCTTCTGATACATAACTTAAGCAAAACTTGGCTTGAGGCCAACAATATCTATGAAAGGAGACATAAAGCTTGGGCAGAATAGGAAACAGGTAATTCTGCTGCTATTGCAAGTGCTGGAACATAGATGGAGAATTTTCTAATAACCTTCTCCAGCTGCCAGTTACTTGTTCAAAATGAAACACATATACTGTAGGAGGAAGAAGGCTGATGTGTTTCTAGGTTAAAAGAAATGTTGTCTGACATCTGTTTGCCACATGGTAGCCTTAACCAAAAATTTTCCCTCCTCCCAGCTTTTGCCTTGCTATGCATCCATTGGTTGCCTTCTCCCCTCCAGCAGTGGCTTTGAACCTACAGCATGATTCCAGAATCTGTAGGCTTTGTTTCATTTTCACCAAGTCCAATATCCCATTGGAATTCACCTGGGAAAGCAGTCAGAAAAAGTGACTGAGAGCTTCAAAACACAGTTCAGAGCATGAGAGTCCTCCGTGTTCCGGCAGGAACTGAACCCCTCTGCGGCAGGTGGCCTCCATAGAAAATCATGAGCCCCCTGAATATCCACCCAGCCGCACAGCAAAGCCTAGGTTAATGTTGGACAGCTGTAACACCTTCATGATTTGTGAACAAACATCAAAGGCCCCTGAATCCCAGAGTCCTAGCTCCCTCTCCTGGCAGAGCACCGTACCGGGAACAGAAACGGGGGCTGCACGGGGTGCTCCCCTGGCACAAGAAGCCTGAACCCCAGCTGCAGCTCAGCCAAGGGAGATGGGGAGAAACTGTGCCCTCAGTAATCAGGAGCTCCTCTCTGCAAGGAGCCCAGTGGTAATCACGCAGCTATAGCTTTACCAGCAGATTAATACAGGATTAGCAAAGTCAAAATCTATTCTAGTGAAGAACATCTGTGACATAGCTTTAGCTGCATAAAAAATATGTACTTGAGCACAGATAAAACTTCACTGCTGCGTATTATCTGCAGTTCTGAAAGTTGGGGGTAGTGCAGTTTATTCTCTAATATTCTGACACCAGACTGACTTGTGCAACTGTACCATCATTCCTCTCCAACACCACAGCCTTCTTCTGTTTGCTGTTTCCCATACATGCCAAGCCCCAGTCTGTTACTCACTCCTTGAGAAGCACACATCTGCCTGGCCAGATAAGAACCTGTCACTACAGCAGGTAATGTACAAATAGAAGGGATCTCATTAGTAGTCTCCAGCTCTTCAAAAACATATATTTTGTTTCCATATGTGAAGGCACAGCTTATTGCCCCTCCATTCCAAGTAACATCCACAACATCCCCGCTTGGTAAAAACACCCACTGTCACCAGTGGGCACAATGTCTGTGGCAGCACCAGAGGTGGAAGTGTGACACCTGCCATCATGGCCCAAGGTTGAGGCAAGGTCCTTCTTGGCCAGCAGCACATGCCTCCACGACTTCAGGGAATGAGCTGGCTCTTAACGGGGCAAAAGACATCAGGGCCTCAGTGCAAGCACACAGGCCACTGAGAGTGACCCAACCTGCAAGTTGTGTACAGGTACATGAAATTTGGCCATCTCGGCCACTGACCCTTAACAACTTGGGTTGGGTACACCAGTGGTTTATTTCGGTAGAATTTTGATTCTGTTAATCTGTGTTTCCACACCGTGGGTGGCTGAAGTCCACTGAAAGCCTCCCTAGCAAATGGGTGAGCTTGGATGCCCGGGACAGAGCCTGTTGGCATCCTGCTATTTCTGTGGAGAAGGTGAAAACAAGGTTTCCTGAACAAGTAAAACAACAGGTCTCTCTTAGCTGCTTACAGTAGCCTTTTTTTAGACCATTATTCAAGGGCTCTTTCAGTCTTTGGCAATGGGGTTACAGCTCCTGCTTAAGAGGAGCAGAAGGCAGCTCACAGATGTGCAAGCTGGTTTCTGCTGTGGATATGTTTTCTTCTAGATTTCACACCAGGGCAGTTTTCCCAAACCAATGCTCTTTCACAGGTCAGTGGCTTATTTCAGGACTCCCCTTCACTCACCAGCATCAACTACAGCTCCTGCTTAAATGGTAAGACCCTAAGTATGTTCTTAGAGGTCCATAAAGCAAAGCCAGAAGTGCACAGAAGGTATTTAGTCAAGGCAAAGCTGTGGTTCATAAAATGTCTCATTGTAAGTTGACCATCTTGATCGTAGGAGATTTTCTGTATATTAATCAGAATTAAATTATTGTTTCTTCCTCAGGGAGGGAAAATGAGATATTGGAGAAGAGAGAGAAAGACAAAGGGAAAAGGATACTTCTGGATATTTCAAAGATGTCTAAACTTTACTTCCAGATTTCCCTAGCATGCTCATCAATTTCATGTTAAGAATTATAAGCAACTTGTCTTTTCATCTTCTCTTCAACCAGAGTAGGTAAGCAGTTTTAAATCTGAGAAGTAGTTTGTGCTCTCAAACAGAGAAAGGGAAGGTGTATGAGCAAGAATTAAAGTTTCCAACATTGCAGAGCACTGGATGAAGTGGTGGTGTTAGCCCTGACCAGCAGCAATCCCAGGCAGAGCCCTTCCTCTGAACCCGACAGTCTTCATTTCCTGAATCAACAGGCCCAATGCAGGGCTTGCTCTCACCACCGTTACTCATGTAAGAAGCCCTGAAGTTGTGTCAGGGGAGGGTTAGCTTGGGTATTAGGAAAAGGTTCTTCACCCAGAGGGTGGTTTGGTACTGGAACAGGCTCCCCGGGGAGGTGGTCACAGCACCAAGCCTGACAGAGTTCAAGAAGCATCTGGATGACACTCTCAGGCACATGGTGTGACTCTTGGGGTGTCCTGTGCAGAGCCACGTGTTGGACTTTGATGACCCCTGAGGGTCTCTTCCAAGTATTCTATGATTTTATGAATTTTTACCTGAGGGGGTGGTATGTATGCCCAGAGGTATACATGGGAGACTGTAAATGGATACTAACTCTTTTTCTAATTATTATTTTGCAGAGCTATGCATCTACGAGTGGAGCTGTCATTCTGCCTCCCAAGTACCTCTTCTGGAAGAGATCTTAAAATGTATTGTTTCATGTGAAAAAGCATTCATTGCTTTGCTCCCAGCTGCAGCTGATGTAGTAGGAGAGAGCTGCCCACCCTTAGTTTACAGACCAGTTTGGCCACACAGCTTGTTAGGTAAAGACAGGCCAGCACACTCAGACTGGTGCCAGGAATATTGCTGCTGATTGTGCTCACCAAACCATGCTATGTCAGCTGCATCCATGTCAGAGGAGTATGTGCAAGACCAGTTACAGCTAATAAGCCTCTATCTGAGGGAAAAAATGAGACCAGAGTGAGATTTATGACAATTTCAAGCACAGAATAAGCAGTATGAACAGATGAGCCTCAAAGAATGGTAAGGTCCTCTTTACATACAAATATTTGGGGGGGGGAGGGGAGGGAAGGTGGAATAAAATCAGAAAATAATAGAATGAATTATAGCAAATACTCTTTCTAAGTAAAGTCGTTTTGCATTTCCCATGGGAGTCAGTTGAATGAGAGAAGACAAAAAAAAAGGAAGAGTAGAAACTGCTTGCAACACAGAACAAACCTTGAGTGCCAAGAACATGCTCCAGATTTTTCTAAAGATGCCTGGCTCTTATCTCAGCCTTGATTCATCACAGTTTACTCCCAGAATTGTTCAGAATTCAAGGACCTTGCTCCTGTGGGGTTAATGGGTTACATTCAGCATTGAAACCCATGACACAAATAGCTGCTTAATTATTCACTCCAAGATGGTTTTAGTGGCTAATCTAAACAAAAACGGCAACAGCAAAAATTACATTGTTTTACGTTCTGCCGGTGAAATGATTTTTTCTTTTAACCATATAATCCAGGACCATGCACAGGCAGGAGGGGGCCCATATAAAGGAGGGGTTGTGCTGCTTGTGACACGAAAGATTAGCATGCTCATGACTGAAGCGGAGGAAAAGGAAAACACAGCCATAAAAGTGACAGTAGAGGTGAAGAATTGTAGTGAATGTGTAATGCACCACCAAAAAGATGCAGAAGAAAACATACCAAACTGGAAGTCTTATCATATCTATCCTCCTATTCCAAAGCACGAATTAATTTGAAAGGAAGAAGCTGCTGTTCTCGTTGGCTCACATAATTTGTTCATAAACACAGGCAAGAAATATGCTAAAGTGATACGATTACCATAATTACTATTTTGTTCAAAAAATGCAGCGGTGGTTTTCCACCCTGAATTTCATTCAAGCAGCCATTGTGGCTGGTACCAATCAGGAGGTAATGGCACAGACTGCAGCTACTCCAGGAGCAAACACAGTAAATCTCGTGCTTCAAATGCACCAGCCACACAGGATGTCAAAGCATATTACAAATACGGGAGCAGGTATCAGCCAGTCCTGGTACAAGGAATTTGTGTGCAGCTAAGCAAAGATACAGTGCCAAACCAATCCTGGCAGACATATGTCGCTCCAATAGCAAGCAAAACCCATTTAGACTCAATGGGTCTAAATGTGGGGTTTTTGCAAAGGGTCAAACTTAGCATTTATTTAATTTAACCCTGTTTTGAAAGCATGCTGTGCAGCAGAGAGGAAATAGACATCCCAAAGAATCAAACAGGATCACTTTAAGCCCAAATCATCACTAAATGCAACACTGCTGTGTGCAGGGGATATCAAATTAGGGTGATCATTGCCAACCCCCATCAGCTTCCTGTCTCGCTGCAGCTTCCCAGGGGATGAACTACAGACAGGACTCTCCTGTAAAGCCCTGGTTAAACAGGTATCTGTTTGAGTTTGGATAGGGCTTAAAGCAAAGGAGGCTAAATGACTGGTTCAGTTGATGACAAGTGGCAGTCCTGATCACCAGTCTCTTGCCTTCTCACTCTGACTTGCTGTGCTAACTGGTCTAATGCAGGTGGGGCGGGAGTGTGTGTGTTAAGCCAAAACATTTTTTAACTTTAAAAAAACAGATCTTTCATCTGTAAAGTACCCAAGCCAGAGCTATTTAAAAGATTAAGTTCTGAGTCACCTCCAGATTTCTATTCCTTCCTCCTGTTCCTCACCCCATGATATTATTTCATCATGTCATTGAAAAAGAGGGGAGTAAAAGGGGAAAAAATAATGGCAAAAATGTTAGAATAGCTGTATTTTTGGTCTTGTCTCTTTCTTTAAACATTTGAAAAAGTTGGCATTTTTTTAAAAACAGAGAAAAAGAGTTAGGCTGTATACTTTGCATTTTTCTCTGTGATATTTCATACTGCTCACTGGTCAGATGAATGTTAGTGTTTGGATAAATTTGGAATAGAAGGGTGGTGGTGTTTTCTTCATAGAATTAACATAAGGGCTGCATTGTCAAGCTTATACTGGAGAAAAGCTGGAGGGTGATCATTTTATATTTGGCACAGAAGATAAAGGGTTTCTTCCTGTGTGCCACTAGAAGTAAGGGATTGTTCTGCAAGTGACAGTGGAGGAAAGGGAGTTTTGTGCTTGTGTCACAGAAGGAAGAGGATTACTGTGCAAACGATGCTCAAGGAAAAGGATTAAACTGTGTACGACACAGAGAAGCGAGGTCATTGTACAGACACCACAGAAGGAGCAGGGTACTGTAGCACAGGATGGGAAGGATTCTTTGAAAGTCAGAATGAAAATTAAAAAGAGAGGAGGACTATACTTGTGTGAATGTGGCTGGAAGACAAGGTTTCTTATGAGCAAAAATAAGTAAAGGAAGAAATGGCTGTAGTTCTAAGTCAAGAAGTACTTGCTTATTCTACAACCAAGCACCTACATTTTTCAGACGAAACAGAGTGCAGTGCCACTCATTAGTTTAAAGGAATACACATACTTTGAGCAATAATTGAATGATGATATCTCAGAGAGATACTTCATGATCTTCAACTCAACTCCCCTTCAGACAAGAAGATGGCTCCCTCTTAGATATTTTTCTTATCCCTTTAAAGAAAAGTGCCTCACGAATCACCATAACCTTCTCAAGAAATAAGGATATTGTTCCCAGAGAAAACCACAGATGAGACTGGGTGCCACATGCAAGCACTGCTGGTCTGCTGGGCGTGCAGCACTTTCCTTCTTGGTTAGGAATCCCAGCATCCTATCTCTTAGATGGTTCTTATCTACATATGCATAGAGAAGCAGAGCAAGCCTAGGCAGATTTTTTTGTTGTTGTTTCCTTAGAAAAAAAAATTAAAAATATCCTGTTTCATAAGAAAAATATATATGAAACAAAAGGTTTTCACTTTCCTCGTGATACCCAGGAGAAATGTTTCAGACATTCTCTGTGAAGATAGAGATTCACATTTCCACATTGCAGCAGCCACCAAACCCCGGCTGTGCTTTTGTAAGACATTATAGGCAATGGAACATGTTTGAGGTGAGGGCTGTGGTGCACTGCACTGTTTTTGTATCATGAGAAAGGAGAAGTAAAATGTGAAGATAAGAATTATTGCTACCTTTTTTATGCCAGTTGCTGGTTCAAGACTTTCCAGCTATTTGGGGATTTGTTTGTTTTCACACAATGATCCTGACATCCAGTTACTCATAACATGTCACTCTCAAGAGCACTGCAACACTTTGTACCAGGAACTGCATTTCAGAGAAGGTGAACCCGGGGTCAAACGCATTCCTGCTAATTGTACTGATTGCAGGAAAGTTATTCTACGATTGAATTTGTTCTCTGAAGTTAAAGGGGGAAGCTGCTAATTGCTTTTAAGGAGGACCCAGAAAAATGACTGGGGGCTGCACAGTAACTCCCCGCCCAGGCGCGCCGGGCGCATGCCCGCCCAGCACGCACAAGATAAGAGCTGCTAATCTTTTGGGGGAGTGTGGTATGTGAGGAGGACGTGCAGTTCAAACTATGCCAGGGCTTGGAGGGGGATATACAAACAACCAGTGATAGAAAAGGGGTTCTGTATGTCCACACATTCTGTACTGTTGGTACTCACTGTGTAGAAGAAATCTACTATACTGATCAGGTTTCTTCAAAGCTGCCACCAGTGCAGGGGCATGGCCACGGGCTCTTTTCTGCAGTGTTTCTACAATGCTCTGAATGTCCTCAGGCTCCACAAAGACTACATCTACTATTACCATGATTCCACCAGGCAGCATATGTGTTTCCTTCCTGGTCTAGCTTTTTCTTATAATTTTCCTGCCTACCAAATCTGAAGTCTCTCTTTGAGTTGAAAAATTCATGGTTAGGGCAAGGAGAGACACACAAGGTCTAGTTTGTGCAGAATATCACAGAGCAGTTCTGGTTCATTGATGTGCAATGTCACAAGGACAAACAAACTCTGCTTCTCCACTATAATTCATGATTTGGTATATCAAGTTAAACCTCTACTCATCATCCTGGTTTAATTATTTTGGTTCTTCCAGTTTCCCCAGAAATCCTAGCTCCCCAAACCTTTCCTACTCAGAAGTCCAAGTTCCAAAAACTATTTTGAATGGTATCTCGTTTTTTAAATATTTCTGTTAGCCGAGTCATCCTGCACCTCATTGCTGAGAAGAGCACAGCCCTGCAGAGGAAGGGTAACTGCCTGGGGTTTGGCAAAGTTTGCCAGCTTCCTGTGTGAGAAATTGTATGGGGAACATCTAAGAGGATGTATTTGCTGAACTTCCTCAAGCTTGGGCACAAATCCACGACAGAAGAAACTAAATAGAAATTTGCAACAACCTGAGATTGCTTAGTTTGCAGGGCTCTTACTAGTGGCTACCTTAGGAGATGGAGAAAACAGCAGTCTATCTTGTTTTAAGAATTACTCTATCTTTGTAGGAAAAACACCAGAGGTTGTAAATAACATTTCAGCTGACAAAAGTTTTGCTCTGAGTTCTTTGGGAGGGTGTAGCAAAGCTGTCAGACTGACTTTTTATATTAAGCTCCAGCTGTCATTTTCCTTTGCCTGCTGTATGGAACTGCTGGGTGCAGGCTCCCATTTGAAGCTCTTGGCTTTTGAGGCAGAGCACCTCATCATGCTCAGGTAGACTGCTGCAAGTGCACACCTTTTCATATGCCTTTGTTGAATGAGACCAGGAAGGAGGGGAGGGAATTGCCCTGACAATTGAAATTTAGCAGCTCTGGTTCAATGCTCGGTGAAGTCAATGGGAGATTTTCTATTGGCCTCAAAAGGTAAGGAACAGGGCATAAGGACGAACACGAACAGAGTAATTCTGTTTTATGCAAGGGAAAAGGTAGAGTAAAACCAGCTAAGAATCGAAAGCTGAATGTTATATGTCCGATTTGAAATGTACTTGTAACAGGTAAAGGTTACCTGAAAGTGACCTAAATAAGACTGGGTTCTTGAACTACTTCTTATAAGGGGTCTGCAAAATATCCACAATGCCATTTGCAGGCATTCCCCCGTGCCAGCATGTGGCCTGGGCTCAGGCTTCAGCACACATCTCCTTGGAGGCAGGCAGTGACTGTGGAGAAAGCTTTGCACTGGAATCAGGGGAAACTTCGCCTCAAGTTTCTCTGGTTTGGAATGAGTCAATGTTGACTTCAACCTGATATCTATAAGGAAGCTGAAGATAAACCTCTCAAATGAAAAATGTGATCACCAACCACATGCAAACAACATCAATGCTGCAATACAAGCAGAGTGACAAACTATCTGAGTCGATCCTTCTGGTGCTACTGGGTACCAGTTGGGGATGAGAGGCTGGCACTGGCCCCAAGGGAGCTGTGGTTTTCGGATGGGAGTTATTTCGATTGTCATTAGGTCCACCCTTTACCAACACTCCTTCCATGGGCAGAAACAGCAAAGACAAGCAGCAGTATG